GAGGATAAATAATCTGGCAGCTCTGGGTTATTAAAGCGCAGCGTGTGCAGCCAGGGCCAGCCAAGCCATTGGGGCATGAAGGAGCTCGGGATTTTGGGATTGGGATTTGGCTTCCCAAGGAAACCAAAGGCACGCTCATTTTGAGCTGCTGTATCAGCACGTGCCCATCTCCTGAGGGGAGATGAAGACAGAAAAACCCTGCTGGACTTCAAGGCTACTCATGCAGCCAGRTCAGGATTGTCTGTGAGCAAAAAGTATTCCTTGGGTTTCTCTAACTTACATTTAACTCTTCCAGAATACAAAATACTGGAAAGAAACTCTAAAACACCCAAAATGTTTACTATATTCTGAGAGATTTTGTCTTCCTTCTAAAAATCAAGGTCTTGAAGAAAGTATCAATCTTACTCTCACTACTAAAATGCACAATTCATCTGAGGGAAAAAATGTTGGTTTTTTTTTTTTTTTTTTTCATAGAACGAGTCCTGTTTAGTGTTTGTCGCCATGCTTGTGAGTGTAGAACCAGAACCACCACTCTGTCCTGAATTTCAGGGACAGCTCTTGCCTGGGTGATGGATGGTCCCTCCATCAGTCTCCTCAGGAGAGATTTGTCCCAAATGACTCCTCCCATATCATTAGTCTTACTATTAATTAATACTATTAACTGGTAACAGGAGCCATCCAGAAGCTCTAGTTAGAAATAGGGGAACACTGGGCTGGGCATAAGGCAGAGCAGTTTACCACCAGAAAGATTTTGAGCTGGAAAAAACAAGTAACTTCAGGAAAGGAGGAGAGAAGGGTGGAAACAAGAGGAATGGGACCAAAGGCTGTAACTCAGGAACTGTCTTTGCAACACCTCTCTCTCCGAAGTGCTCTTCAAGCAGTTTATCAGAATTTGGTTCAAAGATGTGGCTGGTAGCAGCTCCATCCGGGGTAACCATCAGGATTCACTCCACAGGAATTAGGAACAGGATGCCAATATCTACGCAAAGATGATGAGCACCTCAAATCTGGGGTAGGATTTAGTTGCCCAAACAGGTGTCTGAGGTGAGGATCCACCACATCTGCATGGAACCCACAGATCTGGCACAGGAGAGTGGAGGAAGCAGAATGGGAGGTCAGAGAGCATCTCCAGGATYTCACTCTGCCTCTCTCCAGGAAATTAAATCCTTTCACACCTTACACAAGCTCTGGGTTGTAACTTCAAAATATGCACTGGTTTGTAATATTAGGAATGAGTTGGCAGCATGGCTCCCTCCTGCTCAGAGAGCACCAGCAATGCCAGAAACCACTGAAATTGTTCCATTTAACTTGAAATCAGGCTCCAGTAACACTCTGACCCTCTTTACACACACCAAGCCCTGACCATTTAATCAGGTGTGCCCCCTGAAGCCCAAGCCACCATTTATGACCAGCACCAAACCAAGKGYAGGGGCATCCCAACAGCACCCTGAAATCAGAGCAGACACAGCAAAGGACTCACATCCTTGGGTTGTGGCCCTTAGAAAGTATTTGTGCTTCTAAACCATTCAAACAGCCTTGAAAATCCCGTCTGTATTTATTTTTCTTCAAGGATCAACATGTTTTCTGAAAAGCAGGCAAYGACAAAATAGCAGGTGTGTTGCAAAAAGCTTTTGTGAGGAGAAAAATTTATTCCTGGATGTGCAGTTTGCAAAACACTATGTTTAGTAGCTGCATAATAGCAGCGTTTTCTGGCAGTTAAACATCACATTCCTTCTCAAAGGATCCTAAAGCATTTTACAAACACTTCCAACATATGGCCAAGTGTAAAACTGCACCAGAGAAAAAAAAATAAAAAAGAAAACGCTGTTTGCAGCCATCTCCCTGATTTTGCAACCAGCTTCTGTGGTCTGGTGTCCTCTCTTCGGATGCCAAGAAGGGAGCAGGGCTGTGCTTTCGCAGGGGAATTTTGGAGCTGCTGCTGAAGATCACCCCATGCCAAGTTCAGCTCTGCCACAATTCTGAGCACTGATAATTCAGGCTGAATTCCACAGTTTGGGAGTTCTCAGGCAGAACTCAGCCCTGTGACACCAAAACTGTGGAGTGTGACCACCAACAGTGGCAATGGGCTGAGAGACCCCTGAGAGGGGCCACTTGTCACACTGCAAAAGTGGCTCTGCCCTCCCAGTGCCACCACCTGGGGACAGTCTGATGGCACCACAGTGACACTTCCCACAGTCACACWCAGCTCTAAGGACAACACGGATTTCAGTCCTAACCCAGCCCAAAGTGAACGTGCTCACCCTGGGGACGGCTCAGGAAGAGAAAGCACACACCTCCACCCTCCCCAGCCATGGAATTCTGCAGGGAAATGTGGGAAAACAGAACGTAACTGCTCAGTGTGCAGTTCCCCAGTCTGCCAAAGGAGACATTTCCAGCCTTCCCGGAGATCTCTGAGAGCTACCAGCTGTCAAACCTCGTGTTTTTTATCTCATCTAACACACGACAGCTACRGCAGCAAGGAGCCCCAGGCACCGTGTAGAAACATTACCTCTGTGCTGGGTTTGTTAAAAAAAAAAATAAAATTAAAATGAAGTTATGAAAGACAGCTCTGGATACAACRTATTTTGCTGGAATCTGGGATTCTCCCTGAAGGTCCCACACAAAATCACTGGCGCTCTTTGTAAGATCAGTCAAGTTTACTACCAGATAGTCTCCTAAAGCCTTAACTCATGTTTAAGTCATGACTAGACGAAGACTTGCTCACAGGCAGAGATGAGATCTTGGCTTTTTCTCCTCAATTAAGATGCACAAGATGGGGTTGATTCACCCTAAGTGGGCAGAATAAAGTGATGCCCACACAAAAATTTGTTCAGTCTCCTGCCTTCCCAGCACCAGAATCAGGGTTCAGACAGCACCAAACTCTGAATTCTGCTTATCTTGTGCTCAGCTTCCACATTATGATCAACAAAGAAGTCCTGTTGACCTAATAATGGACCTAAACATTGACTTTTTTGCCACATTTGGCCCCAAAATAATTCTCCTCTTGAGCCATCAAGCATTCCAAGATCTTCTAAGAGGAACATCTTTGCAAGCTCCAACCACACAGAACAGCAAATGGGACTTGCTGAATTCAAATTTATGACCTGCATGCAATAATTAAAATAAGTGGGTATAAGTCTGGCACGCTGAGAAGAGGCACCAACACAGCTGTTAGTTATAAACTCTTTTTWAAAAAGGATGTTTCATGAGCCTCATCAGAGACATTCTTCACTCCTTCACAGAGACAGGAATAAAATTTACACATTAGGCATTCCCTTTTGTGATTTAATCCCTGCCCCACACAATGTATTTTTTGATCTCGAAGCTGCCAAGGCAAACTTTTAATGGAGCTGGCAGATGGAAGCCTTGGATGAAACAAATGGCAGAGACCCAAAACTCCCCGCACGCCACTTCCATCCCAACACGGGGCTCCTCAAACCCACATCCATGCCCAGCACACAGACCTTCCCCCTTCCCCAGCACGGCAGAGCTCCCACACTGCCAGCACATGAGMCACAGCCTGGGCCATTAGCAAAGTGTTCCCAAATTAATGTCGCTAATTTGAGTGCGTCCCAGATGGGCGAGGAGCCAGGATTGCTCACGGGAAGCTGCTGCCACATCCCTGCAGGAAAGGTGAAGGTGGCACTGGGGGTTTGTGGCAGCCAGAACAGGACTTGGTAAGGTCTCAATCCAGTTATAGAACCATAAAATCGTTTCAGTTGGAAAAGCCCTCTAGGATCAAAGCCCAACCATTAACCCAGCACTGCCCAGGCCACCCCTGAGTGCCACTTCCATACATGAACTGCACCAGTTCCATTGCTTTGGGAACATCCCACTGCAGTGCTGCTTAAGGCTGGGAAGCACCCAGAGGGTCCAGGCTGGTGGAGGGGAGTGCATTGTGCTCCCCAGGTCCCCAAGCCAGAGGTGACAATAGGGACATGGGGACACTGCAGTGCTCCCACACACCACCCTGAGCATCCTCGTGGGGAGGGCACTGTGCTCCCCCAGATCCCCAAACAGGAGGTGACACTGGGGACATGGGGACATTGCAGTGCTCCCACAGACTGCCCTGAGCATCCTTATGGGGAGGGCACTGTGCTCCCCCAGGTCCCCAAACAGGTGACAATGTGGACATGGGGACATTGCAGCGCTCCCACACACCACCCTGAGCATCCTCGTGGGGAGGGCACTGTGCTCCCCCAGATCCCCAAACAGGAGGTGACACTGGGGACATGGGGACATTGCAGTGCTCCCACAGACTGCCCTGAGCATCCTTATGGGGAGGGCACTGTGCTCCCCCAGGTCCCCAAACAGGTGACAATGTGGACATGGGGACATTGCAGCGCTCCCACACACCACCCTGAGCATCCTCTCACTGCTCATCCCACCCCAGCCAGGATGGAAGTGCTGGAAACCAGGCAGGAACATCCCAAAATCAGGGTTATCTGGAGCCACCGTGGGTTAACAGCAGCACAGATTTGCATCGGAAATTAAAGCCAGTGCCTCGGGGCTGAGGTAAATCTCCAACTACTGCAAACCAGAGCGAGAATAAAAAAAAATTTAAAAAAGAAGATGAAGCAAAATTATCTCTCACTTCCATTACAAGTCCCTGAAGGAAGTTGCTCTGTCTTGTGGCTTGTGACCAGGTGAAAATTTTGGTGCAAGGCTCACAGCAATCTGTCCAGTTTGTGTCAACTTTTTTATTTGTRGCCTTGCTACTTCACAATTCTGCAYGATGTCTTTGCACAGGTCTAACAGAGTCATGTTGGAGAAATCACTGCTGATCACCCAGCCCCTTGAAAACACTGATCAAGAAACCACTTATCAGAAAGGAAAGACCAAGCATAAAAATGTGTCTTATACAACCATTCCACTTGTGACCTTCCACATTTATGCATCACAGCAAAAGCCTTTCCTCACAAAGTTTAACATAAGCTGCTAAACATGGCATGGTATTTATTCATCACAGGTTCCTCAAGTGAAGGAAAAGGGTCTTTTACCTTGAACACTTCCATTGGAAGAGGAAAATTTGCTGCATCATTAAGGGATTTTTCCAGAGCGCATTTCCACTCAGTTATAGTCTTCAGAGAATAGATATCTAAAGGGATGACAATAACAAAAAGAAAGAAAAAAAACAACAAAACCAAGAGGTGACTGTTTGGAGATCAAACATTTTTGGAAGACTAAAGTTCTTATGTCATAAGAATGGACAGTACAAGTGAAATGAACTGTGTATATTCCAAGCTGTGYAGCATAGATAAATTCAACACAAAAGCAACTAGCAGGGGCACACTGGAGGAAGACTGTGTTTTATATCCTGGAGTAAAACCCAGAAAAATTCACATCCTTCAATTACTGCTGAAGGAATCAGAATCATATTATCTCATTACTTGAAAACAGAGAAAAAACTCTCTTTTGATTTTAATTTCTGAAAACACCTGATGTTTTCTAGTTTGAGGAGCCTCAGGTCTTCAGCCAGTATTAGTCACACTTGAACAAAACAGAAGTTATCATTACTGAGGCTCCTGTTAATTGGAAAGAGTTTGGGTTGGTTTGTTTTTGGTTTTTTTTTTTTTTTTTTTTGTTCTTGGTTTCGGGTTTTTTTCAAACTGCAGGGTTGGGGTGGGTGGGGGAAGAAACATTTCAGCTGAATCTCTAACCAAACACATCTGCTGGTATCACACTTTAACCAGAGCATCACACCWCTGCAAAGACTTACACTCATGAATTTTCATCATTGCATTTTCAGGCAACACCTTTGTGCAGCTTCACATTGCTTCCAGTGAGTTTCTTTACACAGGTTYAATATTATTAAATCATTACATTAACAAGCCCTTTATGGTTGAGTGCAGTGAAATGCCTATGAATCATCAAAGAGAACAATGCAGGAGACAATACTGTGATGAGGAACATTATATTGGATTTACTTCTGCCCTAGAAAACATATTGTTATCCTGCACGTAACAAGTTATTGCAGAACATTCATATCAAGGCCTCAAAGAGAGAAGATAGGGAGATAGATTGCAACAATTATTAAAATGGAAATGAACATGTGCTCAATAATAAACTCAAACCTTGATACAGAGTGAAAAGTGTGGAGCTTTTCTTTGGCCACTCTGGCTTCCCACASTGACATCAAGGTTCAATTTGGCCCAATTTGCATTTAAATCCTGTGCATCTAATAACCATATATGTATTTACTAGCTAGCAAAGATTTACTGCTGAATCTGACAATTCTGAAGGAGGGAATAAAAATATGTGTGAAAAAAAAAAGGAATTGGCAAGCACTGTTTCCACCTAGCACTGATGGTACAAGAGAATTTTATGCTCTGAACTCAACAGATTTAAGACCTTATCAAAACAGGATTTGCAGAATCACTGACTGAAGTGGATGTATTTATACTTCCACTATATCAAATCTTGCTACTTCAGAACAGRCATCAAGGATATGCATATGAATTTAAACACACTTGAAGGGGGATGTTAACCTTTCAGGGCAGTATTTTTAATTTCTCAGCTGTCTGGTTAATTGTTTTACAGCATGTGCAGTGGGCACAAGTGTTAAAAAGTGCACTCTTTATCTAATTGTTCATTATTTTATAGTTTTGTTGCCTCACTTCTTCCTTGCTTGCAGGAGCTTTGATCAGTACAAAGTCCAGGGAGGGGGACAATTTGTCTTGTTTCTTTCTTTTTTTTTATTTACAGAGAAATACCTGATACAATATGATTCTGCCTATGCTTCAGCCTGCCTGTTGCTTCAACCAACAGAAAGTCTGAGTTTAGAAAAGTTGACGCTTCATGATGCTTTGCTTTAGAAAAACTCATGTCTGATGCTTCCCTGCTGGAAACAGACCCTCATTTTCCATTGTGATGGCACCGAAGCACAAGAAAGATGAAACTGGCATTTTGGGCAATTCTGGCCAAATTTTGGGCAGCTTTGGCCAAAATCAGTGAAAACATGCAGCAATTTCTCAGGGCAGTATCAACAAACTTCAAGATATAAAAACAGCTCTGGTGGTTTCGATGGCCAGCAAAGAATATCATATGCACATTTAATTAGTGGTGCCTTGCTTATTCTGGCAAGCGTATGGACACTAAACTGCATGGTTAAAAGAGCATAAAGCATTTTATTTAAGTGCTGGGGCTGCAGGTAATTGAACAAAGTGTACTGTGTCAATTTGTATTAGAGTTCACAAGTAGAGAGCAATTAAAATGACTGGCAATTTGTCTTTWAATAGAAAGTGGCATAAAACGAGATGATCTTGTCCTGCATAAACAGCTGAGCTCAGGCCATCAGTGGCTCTGTGTCAAGCAGCCTGTGCCAATYTGCACCAGCAAGGAGGCTTATTCCAGACTCAGATATATATCAGAAGGGGGAAAAAAAAAGCTATAAACTCTTTTCTTCAGTTAAATGGGTTTGTGAGGTACAGAGAGTCCATCTGGGATGCTGTTTCACAGAACCACTGAATGGTTTGGGTTGGAAGGGACSTTAAAGATCATCTCATTCCAAGYCCCAAAGGAYKCYCTCACACATTAAGTRGCTTTTAGGATGTGGGTGGCTTCAGGAAAGAGACCTCTCCATCCAAAATACTGTTTGGGTCCATGGGATCTCCTTTATCTGAGATGTTCTGCATCTTGAAAAGCTGACCTGGAAGTGCTGTGCAAGATGAAACCTGGCAGGTGCCAGAGGTGAATCAACAGGGCAAAGTCACAGCCCAGACACAAAGGGAAATAAAGCTCAAGGTGGACACGCAGCATCCAAGCTGAGGACAGGCAAGGCATTATTACAGGATGCAGAAGTGATGTGTAAAAACCCCTTTGTTTGACAGCAAGGGGAAACACAGCCTGATCTGGGAGGAGCTGCACATCCTCAGCACCTCTCCAGAGCTGACTGATAACAGCTTTGATTCAGTCTAAAGCTATTCCTTTTATCAGTCAAGGAGTCACCTTACCCACGTGTTCAAAATTTACACAACCAGCTGTGTGTTCACTGGTTTTCACCCCCCTGAGTGAAAAAAACCAGCTTTATGAAGATGTAATTTCATCTCACCTGGGTTCCTCRTGTCTTGGGCACCCCCTTTTCCCCACCCACCATAAAGAGAAATCAGTTTCTCATACTGAACTGTCTTTTGATGCCTGCACTGGGCAGGTGAATCTAATCCCTGATGTGTGAAAAAACAACATCCTGCCCAGAGACTGTCTCTCCTTCCTAGGAAGGTGCACAAGAGAGGTCTTTCTAGCCCAAATGTTCCTCACTAAAGCAGCCACTAGGAAGGGGGCAATAAGCAGGCCAGAATGTATCCCTGGCATGGTCTCCAGGTCTCAGGACCTCAAAAAACTGCATTCTTTGACAGTTTTTGGTAATCCCTGGGTTTCTGTAATCCCTGTTTTTCTCTGCTGCCAGCATCTCRTCCTTTCAACTCACTTAGATGTGGATGCTGCTGCTTCCCTGACTGCCCCAAGATTCCTCCTGCAGAGACTTTAACCTGAAACAGATCCCATAAGAGCAACCACTTGGCTCTTCTTCTGTGTTCTTCCTCTAAGTTAATATCTCAGATATCTCAGCTTTATTCTTTCATTGCACCTCATGGACATGCTGGATGGTTGGACAAGAGTCTTTTCTCAGCAAACTCCTATGAGGATCAACTTTAGGAAATACAAAATAATGATCAACTTTTTTAAATCAGTGAAAGTCGGGAAGAAGATSTGGGCACTGAATTCACTAATAACAATGTTGTTTAAAAACTGAATGACCAGAGAAATACAAAGGAGAGGAAACAGGTATCAGATGAGAATAAGAGACAGAAATTTTAAAAGCTAAATCAAGAAGAAGGGAGAAGAAGCAACTCCAGAAAATAMAGAGTGCAGTTACAAGTTTAGAGACAAGTGAACTGAAAAAAAATGAAAATAACAAGAAAGGCATGAGGGGTGAGGAATCCCTCATGAAAAGGACGTTACAATTGGGTAAAAGAAGGAAAGATTAGAAAGCAAATAGAATAAACAAAGAGGAAGCACAAATTTCCTCTGGGCCATTTCTGTATTCACCAAACCAATACAGGCCAAGAGGGTTCAGAGTTGGTCAATGAAAAAGTTGTTCCTCTGCAACACAGAGACTGTAAAATAACAGAGTGGGTGATATTCATGCTCTCCAGCATCCACATCTAATTTAGAAGTGAAGGGCAACATTGATTCCAATCCATCAGTGAAGAAAAACACACGTTTCCAAGAAGCACTCGAGACCCAAGTCTCAGACAAACTTGTGAACAGGAGATTTTAACGAATCAGGATAAACTCTCCTTGTTAGGTGTGAGGGACAGAAGCCACATCAGAAACACCTTCCCAAAGGAGTGGAATTCAATACTCATGGAAAAACTTCACCCACAGCACAAAGAGAATGAGACACAGACCTGGACTCATTGTTAACCTACACAGGAAAAGGTGAATCAATTTGTGATCCCAGACTGGCTTCACTGCAGTCCCAATCCCTCTCCATTCAAGCTGATTTGAACACTAAACTCAACCCTARAGAGCTTCTTCTCCAAGCAACAATCTCCTGATGTTTAATAAGGTCTGACAGGCTTGCAAAGATTTCAAATGAATTTATTTAAAAAACAATGCAGTTCACCTGACCCATTTTAAGCCCAAATGAGACAGATCTTATGTTCCATTTGTGCCACAGCCAGAAACTACTGACAAAGCAATGTGAACGCTGGAGAAGGACAAACAGCCTGCAAAAAGCATCTCAAAACATCAGTGAATCTCACAAAAGGAGACAATATTCCAAGGAGGTTCTTTACCTGCAGGTGGGTCCATTCTGTATTTATTCTCTTGACACCAACCGACTGGTCGAAGTCTGCAATCCAAGTAAAACAACCACTGGTCATAGGATTCAGTCTCCTCCAATCCCACATAGCGAAGGCGTAATCTTCCTCCAACATTTTCAACCACACTAACTATCCAGTACTGAAAGGGATTCTGGGAATCCTGCAGCTCTATTAAGGAATCAACTGTAATGAGGTCTACAGGGTTTTTTCCTCGCAGAGGCTGTTTGAATAGAAGCAAAACTCCTTATTTTAAACTTTATTTGAAGACTTCTCAAGGAAACAGATGACAGCAGAAGATTATTTTTGTTTTTCACACCATCATCCAAGCGATCAGCAAACAGTCTGTTCTTCTTCTATTTTACCCAATGTCTTCCAAGTGCAAATTCAGAAGTAAAACAGAAAACAACAGTTGTGCTAATTTCTCAACCGACATCATCAACAACAACAACCAAAAAAAAAGAAAGAATAATAAAAGGTAGAGCAGCTCCTAAGGCACATCCAGTTAGGATGCTCCTTGTAGCCCAGTTGTACTGGAGGATTTCAAACCAAATTCTCATTATTTGCAGCTGATAAGAACCAATCACAGGACTGGACCCCAACATTTACCAAAAAGGTGACTTCTTTGGGCATGACCCAGAAATTTCAGAAAATATATATATATATATTCAGAAATTTCTATATACTGATCTCTTCCACCAAAGGCTTTGCCTCATTACTCCATGGAAGACATGGGAGTAAATTATCCCCCACCAGCCACGAATGCACAAGTCTGGGGGGGACCCCAAAGCTCAAAAAATGCCAGTGACTGGGGTTATTTGCTTCCACATGATATTTTCTGGGAGCAGCCAGTTTTGCAGCCATTTATACACATGTGTAACTTTCCACCTGCAAAGCTGCCAAGTACAGGCATTAAAAAAMCATGAGATGCTCTGCAGAACGACCCCTTTGGGGCTCAGGGTTTTTGTTTTGTGGGCATCTCTGCGCTCTCAAGCTTTAATGGTTAGATTTCTTATTTTTTATTAAATACAAGTTTGAGTTCTTATGTAATGTCTCGATTCTGGGGTTTTAGGAGMAGCATTAAAATGACCCCAAGACTTGGAAGCGCTGGTCCCCAAAGGAGATGCTAAGCAAAGGCAAAATACATTAAAAAGAAGGACTTTGTTTTTTTCCTGTGTGTTTGTCCCACTTTTACTTAATTAAACCATATAAACATCTCACATTACTTTTTAAAATATTAATTCTGTAAATCAAGAGTCAGTCCAGGATGGTTCTTTCTAACAGTGGCTACAAAACAAAGTAAGGAGAAAACCTTATTTTTCCCACATTTCTTCTTCATATTGAATATAGGTAACATTCAGATTTTGAGATGCAACTGATTTTCACACATCTCTCTCAATCCAAAAATGCAAGCAAGAGAATGAGAATATGGTAAAAAAAATGCAGTTAAAATTAAGTAAAAGCTTATCACATGTACAATTTTAAACAGCTTTATGATTAACAGATATTTCTCAGAACAATATATTTTCCATAATAAGCTACTTTTCTACAGTGCAGGCTGCAAGCATCTGTATAATCTCTTCAAATATTATTTCATGGCAAAATGCAGTGTCAGAATTTAATAATACAATAGAAATCCACTTTAATGTGGATTTTCCCCCCTCTCRTACAACTGCTTCATTGCAACAAAATATTCTTTAATATGAAACGATGGTGTAATGATTTAGCTTATTATAATAAATCCCTGGCTGTATCAAAGTGAATATTGCTTCTCTGATTTGTGTGCTAAATTTTAAGCCAATGGGTTGTCACTTAGCCCACGAGAACTGAATGGCTAGGATTAATAATCGGCTTGCATGAAATATTAACATTTACCATAATGCAAGAGCCCTTCACATGTGTCGCTGGCTCGTTAAAAAAAAAAAAAAAAATTAAAAAGTAGCACTACATATTGATTTAACAGTCTAACAACAATCTGCAGCACTCACCAACAGCAAATCTGTCAACAGGGGCCAACATACATTGCACGACACAGACAGCACCGAGCACATAAAACACCAGAAAAGGGTCACAAACTGCTCTGAGCCAACACAAGGTTTTCTCYCTGCATTTCTGCCCGGGGCTGCCTCCCTTCCCTGCCTGCAGAAAGGAGAGGTTTGGCACACACCACAGATGGGGGCTGGACACCATCAGATTTCTGCATATGCCACCTGGGAGTGGTCCAGGAATGGGGATGCTGCAGGCCCAGGGATGTGGATTGTTTGGGGTCTGCAAGGTTTGTTCATCCCACAGATTTGGGGGTAAAAAATCCCTAATGGCACAGGATGGATTCTCCCTGCCAGGTGCCTCATCCTGCGTGGGCATGTGGAAAAAAAGAGGCAGCTGTGGCTGGTGGGAGTGACTGGGGACAAAATGATCAAAAATGGTGCCTGGATGCACACTGGCTTCCCATAAGCCAAAATGAGCACTTCCCCAAAGATAAATTCCTGTATGCCCTTGCTCTCAGCAGAAATACAGAGGGACAAAGGGAATGAGGGGCTCCTGCAGGACCTTCTGTCTCCTCTCCAAATGCCCCCACAGCACCCACGTGAGAGCAGGGAAAATCATTCCATCATATTCTCTGATGGAAAAGGTGCCCAAAGTTTCCAGGTGAATCTGCAGGATTTTTATCCAGGATCTCAAGGCACACTGAGGCTGTGCCAGGTGGAACTCACCCTGTGGATTTGCTGCACAAASTGGGCCCTTGGGTGCTTGGGTAACACTAAAAAATGGACCCTTCTGTTCTTCTGAAGCCACCTCACCCAGCTTCCCTGCTAAATGTGACTGCTGGATTKAGGKGGAGAGAATGTCCTTGGGGCAACTYTTTCCATACAGATAAACCTGACAGTGCTCCTCACAAACCCACCAAACCCMCTCTCCAACCTGAKCCAGGAATCCCACAATRGYTGGGGGTGGAAGGGACCTTAAAGYYCATCCAATTCCAACCCCAGCTGGACACCTTCCACTATCCCAGGGTGCTCCAAGCCCTGTCCAGCCTGGCCTTGGACACTTCCAGGGATGGGGCAGGGATAAATTGGCAGCTCAGGTCAGGGGTTTGATGGATCTAATGGGGCACTGAAGGGCTGAGTTACCCCTCCTACAGATCCCCTTCACACTCTCCTTCCCCACCAACCTTTTCTGAGCCCCCAGCTTTCTAAAGAACTAAAAGACAAAACAAACTCTCATCACTGGGGCAGAAGCWGAGCCAGCAGAGCCCAGGCAACACYGCCAGGGATTTTGGGACAGTGCTGGGTCAGGTCCCAGCGCTGGCACACAGACACTGCACACACACTGAGGAGAAGAGGAACTGCAATCTAATACATACACCTTCCAGCAAATTGGCAGGGGCCGTCCTGGCGCCGGTCAGATCGTGGATGAGGAACTCTGTCCAGTCCGTGTATTTCTCTTTGATTGCTGGGGAAGGGGGAGGAAAGAAAAAAAAAAGGCTTAGCACAGCAGACAGCAGTGACTTTCCACGTGTGCATCATACAATGGACTTGAAGCGTTTATTAAGAAGAAATTCTTTATTGTTAGAGGGGTGAGGTCCTGGCACAGGGTGCCCAGAGAAGCTGTGGCTGCCCCTGGATCCCTGGAAGTGTCCAAGGCCAGGCTGGATGGAGCTTGGAGCACCCTGGGATAGTGGAAGCTGTCCCTGCCCATGTCAGGGGTGGCACTGGATGATCTTTAAGCTCCCTTCCACACAAACCATCCTATGATTCAATCATTTTGGAAACAYCTCCTTGGAGTTTGCCAGCTCTAAAGTTTTGGAAGTACTGCAGTTCAGACCAGGAGAAAAGCTGGTTTGTTTTCCACACGAGATAAATCCCAAAATAAGGGGAGGTGTTGCTGCACTGTAGCCACTGACAGTGATTCACAACACCGTGCCTGATCATCCCCATCTCCCCTGCTCAGAATTGGCCACTGCTTGTGCAACCACTCCGTTCTCTGCTCATCACCTGGGCTCAGATGTGATTTATAAAGTCTCTCTGTATGTTCACTAATGACCTCTGGGAGAAAAGAAGCTGTGCAAACTTTCAATTCCTTGACAGGAGATCAGAAACTCCAGGTGCTTTTCCAACAAAGTAGAAAAATCAACCCTGAGAACATCATATATCAGCTTCTGAGTCAATGCACCAGCAAGAAGAAAGACTTACAGAGTCTTTCCTTTATCAGGAAATTCTGTTTCATTTAGAAAAAAAAAAAGAATAATTTCTGACCTAAACACTGTGAACCTCTGTTACTTTAGGATGTGTATCCAGACAATTTTACAAGCTTTGAACTGAAATATATAAATTTTCCCGCCAGGATTCGAGTCCTGGGTCAGTTCTGGTTGAAATCACTGGGCATATAAAGGTAATAATTCAGCAAATCTCAGCTTCAGAGATACAGATGCCTCTTCAAATRCATTGTGCATCTGAAATCAGAAATGCAGAAATCAGACCTTAATTCCACCTGCCTGTAAATGGGAATTAAATTACATCAGAAAATTCGTTTTCTCTCCAAAATAATCTTACTTATATGTGAGAGAATAATCAGGAATGCAGTTATGTACTAACTCAGCAACACCTATAGAAGGGAAAAATCACAAGCATTTGAAAATTTAAACATTTCCTCCAAACAAACAACTCKATTTGTGGTTTAAAGATCATTACCCCATGGTAATCCATCAGACTGGCATTGATAAAGGCACAAGCCATGCCCAGTGCACCTTACCTTAACCTCATTTCTGAGATGTGCTCCTTCCCCAAAAGCCAGTGCTCCCAGCTTGAGCTATACACTCAGTTTATAGACCTAAATGACTTTAAAAGTGCATTTAAATGTATTTAAAATTATCAAATGTTGCCGTGCTGGACTTGAGACTCGATAAAATAACACTTGAACTTGCCTGGAACCATCCCAAGTCTCTTGCAGCACTGATTTTGCACAATTTCCCGAAGATTTATGACCTTTGCATTATTTAAGATGAAAGAACAGCCTGAGAAGAAATGGTTTAGATMTGACACTTTCTCTCTCAACAGTCCTGGCTGTGTACACCTCATCAGTTCCTGTCCACCTACATCAGGATAAAGAAAACAAGCTTAATTCTGGCATCAGGGAGAGGATAACAATTGTGGTAATGAATGAGGCTGGACTTTCTCTAGTTCTGCCTCTCCCTGGGTGCAGCACAGAAAGGTGCAAGTTGAACTCGATTTTGGCTCATTCCCACAAAGTTGTCAGCCAAATCCTGAATGCCAGAGCTTCGCTACCAAGGAATGACAAATGTGATAAAAAGAACACAGTTTGAACTTTCAAAGCTGGCAGGAGTGGGGGAGGGTTTGGGGGGAGAATAAGATTTTCAAAGTTGACAACAGATTAACAGATTTCAGGGGCTTCCACTTCCAGATGCCCAATTGGAGATGTCGTAGCAAAGCCTGATTCACAGATCTGGCTGGCTGTCAGTCTCCTTTCCACTGCCTTTCAGAGAGAAAAAAAAAAAAAAAAAAGTCCCTGTCCTTTTTAAAAAAGACTTGGACCTCACAGTTTGACATCTAAATAAACTGATGCCTCTCTCCACATTCAAATCTGGATTAGACGCTTCTGAAAGTGCCAAGGTGACCTCTGTTTTCAGACTGAACAGGCTCAGATGAAAAAAAAAAGAGCTGTTCTCAGTTTCTGGGTGGTTTCAGAGCCATCCTCCCCATACAAATCTAATTTCTAGGGGTTTTCTTTATTTTATTCTGCTTTTGTGGCAGACTCTGAAAACCTCTGAGAAACAAAAAACTGCACTGGAAGTTGTAGGAATAGGGATTTGTACTTCTTTCTGTGCTTACAGAGCACAATCAGCCTTCTCAGTTCCACATTCAAGTCACCACAATGCAAATATTAATTTTTTAGTGGTAATGAAATAAATCTGAACGATCATGATATCAGCAAAGGCCTTTGAGGACAAGCAAAATGTTAAACAAATACATCCAAACTAAGGGAAATCTGCTGGRTAAAYGAGARTAGCTGTCAGGGCAATGCATGAATRCCCAAGCTGAGCMCCCCTCTCCAGAAATGCTGGTGCTGCTCCACATATCAGACTCAGCACCTGGGGACTGAAGCAGTGAACATTCAACCACTATTTCCCATTTTCACTTGTTAGCTACAGGAAAGGCTCTACTGAATCTCTACTGCTTTTTTTTTGGAGCTGGCTGGCCAGCTGGTGGGAAGGGAAGGTAGCCAGGACACAGGATCCTGCTCCATTGCTACCTTAAACTCCACTAGCAGTCCTGTTTTCAAAAYATTTTTTTCCTGCCTTAAATAATTTCAATGGGTCAGGAGCGCTTGCTTTCTTCACCTTTCAA